AGTGATGATGTAGACGGGTGTGAGTGGACGAGTGTGTAGCACTGGTGAGCTACCACTCGTAGCCGGGTGTATGTGGGCGGATGGCGGTCACTGGCAGCTACTGGGATGGTTAGTTGGTGTGGTTGGGCAGGTAGCCCAGATTTGTTATTGTTTTTTTAGTGAGTGGGCGGGTGACGCATCGACGAGCTACCACAACGGTTACGGAGTGTGTGGGCGGGTGACTAGTACTGTCAGCTACCACAACGTCCTACATATCATTGTATCTCACATCGCCTAGGTTAAGGATTTATGGATTATTGGTGTTTTCGGGTACACGAGACTGTTGGATCTGAATTTCGGAGACGAAATTCTTTTTAAGTGGTGGAGATTGTGATAACCTGAATTTTTTTTTTTAGATTTTAATTTATAATTTTATTTTATTATTATTACTCATATTATTTTAAATTTTTTATATAGTTGTGTGTGTGTGTAATTTGATAGGTTGTTTTTAGTTTTTAATGCATTATATATATATTTTGTATATATAATATACATGGCATTAGTTGGCAATTGAAGTAAAGGAAGCTGCGAAATGGGAATTCAAATGGTGAAAAGTATTATTTTTTGGGCCCACATGAAAGTTATTTAAAGAGAATGGAATTTGGTTTTTTGTTTACATATATGTGTGTGTGTGTGTCTGTGTGTGTATGTGTGGTCAGATGGAATTTGGTTTTGTCTCATGTTTATATATATATATATATATATATATATATATATAATGCATCATGGTGAAGGAAGGGAGTAGGTTGGTGATAAAATGATGATAAAGAAAATAAAAGAAGGCAGCGAAATGATGAAGAAAAGAGAGAAAATTGTAATGATGGTGGTGCGTACTTGTGGGACCCAATGGAAGACTGTTTGGCCAAAATCCTTTGGCTTACCCAAGACTCTTTTGACTTGGTTTATTTCTTCACATGGATTTGCTTTTTAGGTGGAGGATAATTGGTCCTGAAATGATGAAAGGGGACACTTGGCCGAGATGGGAAGAAAGAGAAAGGAAAAAGGATTTGGGTTGGCAGGTTGTTCACGTGGGCGTAGTCTGGTAGAAGAAAAGAAATGAGGAGGTGAAATGAATTAATTTTGGCAGACCAACTTTTTGACTTGGGCTTATTTTTGCACGTGGGTCTGTTGGTTGGGTTCTGTACGAGATGGGTGGATTTGCCTTTATATAGGGTGCCTTGTCTTGTGAATTAGTGAGCAAATGGAGATAGAAAAAAATTAGAGATAGAGTGAGCCGAGAGAAAAACAAAGAGATACACAGAGTTTTGAGAGACAAAGAGGAGCTGAGAGTTAGAGAGGGCGCAGCGGAAGCTTGGAGACTTGGTGATCCAGTGGAAAATTAATCTTTTTCAGTGTAGGGTTCTCTATACCTTGAATGGCATGGGGTGGTTTTACCTCAAATGATTTTATCAAATGTTTTGATTAAATGCATATTTATTTTGTCCATATACTCACATGATTATGTTTATTTTGTGAAACTGTTTTATTAAACCTCCATGAGATTCTTGTTATAGTTTTTCCTACTGGGACTTTTGTCTCACCACCCTCCAGTTTCAGGTACCGAGGACGAACGGGGATTGCTAGATTCGGGCTTAGGGTGAAGAGTCGGCGTTGCAGGATTTTATTTATTTATTTGGAGAATTTTTTTATATATTGAGGAAATTGACTTTGTATAAAAAGAGGCTATTTTTATTTTTATTTTTATTTATTTATTTATTTTTTTGTGATCCTGGGTGTATTTTGATGTATTTGGATTTTAATAAATCGAGGATTTTATTAAAATTTTCGGGGGCGTTACAGATACAAAGCCCGACTTGTAGCCCAAAGTTTCTCGCAGAGACCTGGTATTGATTATGAGGAGACATACTCTCCTGTGATGGATGCAATCACATTTCGCTTCTTGATCAGTTTGACAGTCTCAGAAGCACTGGATATGCGTCTGATGGACGTAGTTACAGTTTATTTATATGGATCACTAGATAATGACATATATATGAAAATCCCTGAAGGATTTAAAATGCCTGAAGCAAATAGCTTGAAACCATGTACCATGTATTCGATTAAGCTACAACAATCCTTATACGGATTGAAACAATCCGGACGCATGTGGTACAATCGTCTCAGCGAATATTTACTAAAAGAAGGATATGTGAATAATCAAGTTTGTCCATGCATTTTCATCAAGAAATCAAAATCTGGATTTGCCATTATAGTTGTTTATGTTAACGATCTAAATCTCGTTAGAACTCCTGAAGAGCTCACCACGACTGCTAATTATTTAAAGAAAGAATTCAAATGAAAGATCTTGGTAGAACAAAATTTTGTCTCGACCTGCAAATCGAACATTTACCAAGTGGAATTTTTATCTATCAGTTAACATACACTGAAAAAGTCCTGAAGCGCTTTTATATGGATAAAGCTCACCCCTTGAGTTCTCCAATGATTGTCTGATCACTTAATGTTAAGAAAGATCATTTTCATCCTCTGGAAGAAGGCGAAAAAGTTCTTGGTCCTGAAGTACCATATCTTAGTGCAATCGGTGCTCTAATGTACCTTGCGAATTGTACCAGACCTGATATAGCATTTGCAGTCAACTTACTAGCACAGTATAGTTCTGCACCAACTCGAAGACATTGGAATAGGGTCAAACACATTATGCGTTACCTCCGGGGAATGACTAATATGGGGTTGTTTTATTCAAGAAAATCAAAGCCCCAGTTGATCGGATATGTAGATGCAGGTTATCTTTTTGACCTACATATAGCCCGATCACAAACAGGGTACTTGTTTACTTGTGGTGATACTGCTATATCATGGCGATCTATGAAACAGACCATGACTGCAACTTCCTTAAATCACTCTGAGATACTCGCAATTCATGAAGTAGGTAGAGAGTGTGTTTGGTTGAGATTTGTTATACAACATATTCGAGAATCATATGGACTCTCCTCAATCAAAGATAGTCTAACAATATTATATGAAGATAATACAACATGTATTGCACAGGTAAGAGGAGGATACATAAAAAGTGACAAAACCATGAACATTTCACCAAAATTATTTTCCACACACGAGCTTCAGAAGAGCCGTGATATTAATGTTCATCAGATACGCTCGAGTGATAATCTAGCAGATTTATTCACTAAAGTGCTTCCAACTACAACATTCAAGAAACTAGTGGTTAACATTGGAATGCGTCAACTAAAGGATCTTCAGGGTTGAACTGATGAAGGGGAGCAAGTGATCAAAAATGTATTGGCACACTGTACTCTTTTTCCTTCGTCCAGGTTTTGTCCCACTGATTTTCCTGACGAGGTTTTAATGAGACAGTTTTAATTTATGTAATACCATACACAAGAATACTGTACTCTTTTTCCTTCACTAGGGTTTTGTCCCACTGGGTTTTCTTTAGTAAGGTTTTAATGAGGCATATTCTTAGTGTATTATTGTGGACCCCAAGGGGGAGTATTATATATATATATATATATGTTTGTAGGGCCCACAATCTTAAGTACGGAGAAAGCTCAATTCTTGTTTACAGTGAAAGCTTTATTATGGCTTGTTTGGGAAGCTAAAATTGTGAGCCTATAAATAGGCCATATGTATAAACTGCTTGTAAGGACACACTTGAATGAAAAAGCTTTCCATTCTCTCTCTCTCTTTCTCTGTGAAAGATTTATTTATCTGATATTACTCTATATATACATATCTATTCATTACATCGTTCAAATTTACCTTTTGTTAGTTTTTTATTTTATTTCTAAGCTGAACGGTATTTTGGTTTTTGGGCTTGGGCCTATCACCAGGCTTTTCTTCGGCTAGCTTGTTTATCTTATTTTGGGCTTTGTTAACTCATTGGGCCAGGCCAGTATATACATAATTGTTTCAATTTCCGGAATAAAAATAAAAAAGTAAATAAAATGTGTTTTTTTTTTTTTCCCCTTGAAAAGTAAAAGCCACATCCATCATCTAATTGATAATCTTTTCGTTTTATCAGCATATTAAATTAGAACAAATTCTGCTAATACCATCACTTGTTTGTTTTGTAATTCAATTTGAAAATCACTGAAAATAATAATTCCGTGAGTTTGAAAACAAAATTTACACGGCCGGTTCCAAGTCTGGATAAAGAAAGAGAGGGTTGTGTTAGGTAGCTCGGCAGCCGGAGTAAAACTTTATCATTACAATTATAAACATGAATAAAGATTAAACTTTGGACTGCATTTTCCATATAAAATGTCATATGTATTTAATATTTATAAATGTTTATGCATTATTGGACAACCTTCTTGAGGCTACTATTTATCTGAAACATTGTAGCTGTTGTGGTAGTATCAGGTTTCAGTAAATGATTGTTATTATGTTCTTTAATTTTTGCAATTATGGCCCTTTTGAAAACCATTCTTGGTATTTTCTAGCTTATTTCCTGCTGATGTAATTGAAGATTTTACTAACTTGTTTAGGTCATTTTACAGATTAAAGCAGTCATTTTATACAAAATAATGTAACACTTAAGCGGTTTCATCTTTTTCTTTTGTATATATCTCGAGGCATGCAGTTTCCTTTTTAATAAGAAAATACATTTATGCTAGGTTTGAGAGTATCGAATCGGTGGCTTGGGTTTAAAATTAGAAAAAATTAAATCTGTGCCAATTCCAAATCTATTGAGCCGATTTAGTACTTCTAAACGTTACATGAAAGATAATTAAGGATTTACATAGTGATTATGAATTATATTCTTTTGACATTTCTGTCATATATATATACACGTGTATGTTTCAATTAGAATTTTGATCCATGCTTGTCTATTCATCAAAGAATATGCATATGTGTAATCATCCATTATGGACCGGATCATATATATACACACACACACACATTTCATTCAGAAACTTTGTCTCTGCTTAATACTCGGATTATTACAGCTTTTTTAAGTAACCTCTCCCCAATCAAAACATATCTAAGCAAACTCAGCCACTTAAATACCATATGCTAGCAATGCTTCACAATTAGAGTTAACATGTCCATGGTAATTAATGACATAAATAAAATTCCAATACTAACTATTAAAGTACAAAAATAACTAAAATTTGGCATAGAGAGAACAAGAGAGCCAGTATAAAATATAAATCCTCTAAAACTGCAAATAGGGAACCTTTCCAACCTAAAGACCTTTAGTATTCGAGACTGCAAGGTAAACCTCGGATATGTGCAATCGTCCGCAAATCACACCAGACGCGCTTGATTCTTCCTCTTAATTTCTTATACATTTCTTCTTTGATCCTTTTCCATTTGTGCCACCACAAAATGTATGCTACATTACATAATCATGACAAAACAACCCCCACTACCACCATGATTAATGGAGTGAGTTAGAAGAACTATATATCTATGATTAATTTGTTGTTCTTCTTATTCTTCCTCAGCAATACTTGTTGATGATGAAGTACTTGATGAAAATATTTTACTAGTCAATTGCAAAATCAAAGAGAGCTATAATATATATATATATATATATATAGCTGATTAGTCATGCTCTTTGTCATGCCAATCCGGTCTGCCCAACGTGAACTCCAAGCTAGGGTTCTTCCGATTCAAATCACACCCTAAATAGCTTTTCAGCCGAGTCATTTCACATTCCTGCAATGTTTTGGATATTCTGTCATTTCTAAATTAGACCCAGTGTCTCAATCCCATTTTGTACTCTATGTGCAACATGTATATGCAGTTTAAAAAGTCTGCCCCGGGGCAATAATGGAAGATACGTTCTAATGAGTTTTTCCTTTTATGGATTCATATATATATATATATATATATATATATATATCAATTTTGTTGGAAGTAACCATTTTAAATCAATACATACCTCTACTTCTGGTCTGGATCTTTGTTGTGATGGGAGGGATGACGGTCTGAGCCCTTCCATGTCGCTAGAGGTGATGCGCAGACAAGCCTCTCTAGTACTGCTGAAAATTTAAATAAGAAAAATAATTGATCAGGATCTAAATTTCTGAGAACTAAATAAGATACATGTTCTGCATTGAAGGACAATATTAAATTCCTGCTCATCACCGGTGTTACAATTAAGCAAAACCAAAGAATGCTTTAGTTTGGAAGTATATACTATATACTAGAAAGCTATAGAAATAAAAGCTCTGCATTTTACCCAAAAATAAATAAATAAAATCTGTACAGATAGACAAGAATCACTTGCATATATGAATATATTTGGTTGGTTTGATTTTATTAGTTTTAAACTGATAAAATCATGCATAATGCTTGAGTTGAATTCATTTACTTGCTCCTGTAAATATTATTCCCATCTCTCCTTGCACAATATTCCCAATGGCTTTTTCATAATCATCAGATGAACAAGTTGACGTTGCTCCTAGTTTCCAAAAATTGATGATGTTGAGCTTCAACAAATGGAAATTAATCTTTATTTACGAAGAAACTCATTAATACTTCCACTTTATTCTATACTGAGATAAATCTTTAAGATATAAGTTAAGAGTCGCATCTATGATATAATGGGTAGAAGAAGAAGCATTTTCAAAGATTCTATTGTTTCTTCCGTCCATATCGAATAAAAACAAGTTGCTAGAGCTAGTTTGTGGCAGGAGAACCAGAAGAGGAAGTCCAGTGAAATGACGCCCATTCAATGAAAGATTCTTGGCTAGAAAAAGAAATTTGAAAGCTACAAATTTTATGAAAGTGAGACCATATGATTTAGGAGAAAGGGTATGACGTCCCACATAGTTGGGGGAGAAGTTGTTGGCACTTATAAAGTATGTCCCGTGTCTGTGCAGATGAGTTTTGAAAAATACTGTGAGCACCAAAGTATGCAAAGCGGACAATATCTAAATAATGTGGGAAGGCTAGAATTAGGGGAGCGTGCACAAGCCCGTGGCAGTTAAGCCAAATGGAATGACACGTTAGCCATTTTGAATGGGAGTGGAGAGGAAACTCAGGAAAGAAGGCTTGTCAATTCTATCAATGGAATGGCCAATTGGAAGTCACAAATCAAACCAGAAAGATCTGAGTTCTTTAATCCATTACCAACAATCTTGACTTTGATCAAGGGACAAGCCACTTGTCCAAGTTAAATTAGGTTTCTCCATGTCCATGAGCTATCATTGGGCATGACAATTCCCATAAATTCTTGTTGCTGCTGATAAGATAAACTCTACACCAGTTGGGCTGTAAATTAATCGGAAGAGTTGGAAGCTAAGCTCCACACGAGACTTAGAAGACCTAACCAGGCATTAGTCCCACCAATTGGTATAACTTTGATCTTCTCCCTCAAAAGGAAGGTGAGGGATTCGAGCCTCATAATGAGTATTTTGTGTGTAGATTTTTTGTTTGATTAATTAGGATTAGACTATTGCTCAACCAATTATAAAATGTACGTAAAACATGTGATTTGTGGGATATGACAACAGATCATCAAGATTTAAAATACGTAACTAATGTGTGGATTAATTATTCGTTATCCCAAAAAAAAAAAAAAAAAAAAATCCATAATAACTTGTGCAAATTATGACTCATCTATTTGTGGTTTTACTACATGATTCTATGGGATTTTGTGCACTCTGAATAAAAAAAAAAAAAAGAATAAAGGATGAAAAAAGAAAAAACAGTGTACACAGACAAAAGACATCTAATAAAAGCAGGCACTATAATAGAAGCTTGTACCGAACACTGTCCAACATTTTGTAATAATTTATTGCATGAATATTTATAAGATTAGTTAATTATAACTTTGATAAAAGGAGAGCACTTAAGTCAAGGGACTGATCTTTTTGATGATATGTGCAATCACCTCGTGAAGAGAATAATAATGATAGCCAAATAATGTATAAGATACATATAGTTCTTAGGAAAAATAAAAAATAGAAAAAGAAGTGTAGTAGCTAGCTTTGCTTTCTGTCATCCTATATGTTTATACGGAGTATATTTTTTCTAATATCCCATCAAAACTACACACACGTACAGTCTCACACACACACACACACACACACACACATATATATTATACTCATTGGAAGATCTTCCAACACAAAAAATAAAAGAAGGGAAAGAAGAAACAGAACAGAAGAAAAGCAAAAGCTGCCACAAGAACTCTTTTATTCTTCAAAATTGAAGTAGTGGATTTTTGCAGTTCTAACTGATGGTACCATGCAAAAGAAAAAGAAAAGCAATGTAGGCATTTTAACAAGGTTTTAAGATACGAGCTATATATAGACACATATATATATACACTATATATTCTATAATCTATACCTTGAAGAATTACTCCAGAGAGTAGTAGAAGTAGTACTGTAGTCTGTGTCCTGTTGCAAAGATGCAACAGATGTCCCCCTTTGATCCATAAACCGACCTAATAAGCCACCTCGTTCCGTTGCATCACCAATTGGGAGGTTCTCTTCTTCTCCGGACCCATCTGAAAGTCCTTCAAGAAGAACAAAATGTCTCAGCTGAATATCTTTGCAATGGAGGCATATAGAATATGGTATACACACACATATATAAATGCATGTGTGAAAGCATGCAATGCTATACATACAAGTGTTGTATATGGAAAGATTATCTCCTTGTTACCCACAAACCAGTAGGGCTTAGTGGTGGAATAGAAGTAAAATAAAATAAAATAAAATAGAGGATTTTCTAAAAAATATGTTTTAACCAAAAATATAATAATAATAATAATAAAAAATGGGTTTATATAGGGAAAAAAATATATAAAAGAGACTAAAGATGAGCCATAGAATCACCTGAGGAAGCTGCAGGCTTGTCAGTGGTTTTAACAGTTCGATACATCTGTAGAGAAATTGGGAAGTATTTCCAAACACAATTAAATAGAATGAGAGAAAATTAATAGAAAAGGTCAAAAAAGAGAAAAAGAAAACAAAATAGTAAATACCCAATTCAGATCTCTCTCTCTCTCACTCTCTCTGACCTAACCTTCTTTATGGGCATCTGGGTTTTGTCTTGGTTTCATCATTAATCACGAGGTCGACGTCTGATAAGGTTAGTAATGCATTTGTATTATTGAGAAATGATGACTTACTTTTGTCTGTTCTCACTCTACTCTCTCTCTCTCTCTCTCTCTCTCTCTCTCTGCCATCAGAAGCTCAGACTTCTCTCCGATTCTTTTATTCAATATTCAGTCATTCACTGCATTCATCGACTACTGTGCCGGAGGCAGATAGAAGAATAGACCAAGACCACCCCTTACATCACACACACATACACAAAGTCACACACACACAGCTTTCTGTATTTTTTCTGTACCTGTAAATGGCTTTTGACATGAGCTAGTGTGAGATCTTTGACATCCATGAGCTCAAGTACTGACTTTGGAGTCGCCCCTAAAATAAAAAAACATCAAAAAATGAAACTCCTCATACCCCAAAAACCCCAATACTAATGATTTTTTAAAAAAAACACACAAAACCTAACCCAAAATACAAAATTAAATTAGAGAGAAATCTTGATATTTACTTTCATGACCACCAAGAAGCTCTACAGCATGAACAAACCGAGCATGAAGGGTGCTTGTCCAACGCATTCTAGGCGCCCTCATGCTCCGTTTCGTGGGGAGCTTAGGTATGAATCTTGATCCGTACTGATTCTGATGATGGTGGTGCAATTGATACGAGGAGGAGAGGCCGTTGAGCCTCGTGGCGCCTGAAATCCGATAAGCCGGCGATGAAGAGTGCACATTAGGCCCCGAGTTCAAGATGGACATGTGATGATCCATACCAGCTCGGAGATTATAAGGCGAAGTCGATGAGTGAGGAAATGAGGAGGAGAACAAATTGGAGGAAGTAGAGGAAGGCCAAGGTTGGGGATGAGAGATTTGATGCTCCAAAGGCAAGAAGGGGAACGAACGGTTGTGATACACCGGAATACCCTTTATAGGCCTCAAGCCGTCAGATGATACATCCAGCAGCGAAACCCCATGGTTTATGTGGTTTAAGTGTTGATGGATGTGATGGGGATAAGGGTTTTGTTGTACTACTACTTGCTCTTCAGCTCCACCGCCGGAGAGATTTCTTCGGTACCGGCTTTGATCAAAGTCCATGGCACTTGTCCGGTGAGCTAAGGAGAGCTCGGTGTGAGATTCCGAAGTGGCATTGCTGGACTTGTGAGCTTCACGGAGGCTTGAAAGATCAAAATCTGTAAGTAGATGATTGCTAGTAGTAGTATTGGAAATAGATGAAGAGGAAGAGTTTGGAGGACTAATGTGGAGAGAGAGATCAGGGAGTGGGTTTGGAGAGGGTTGGATGAAAATCCCTTCCAAGGGCATGTTTGGTGGATTTCTAACCAAATAGTTAATCAAAAATAAGAATCAAAAAGTTGTTGAAGAGAAAAGGAAAGGAAAAGAACAAGTGCTAGCTATATGTATGTTTTTTTGTAGTTGGTTTTTGATCTTTTTTGTTTTTTCTTGTAGATTTGTTTGATTTGAAGAGAATAGAAAGGTTTATATGAAGGAACAGCTTTGTGTGCTTTCAAGCTAGAACAAAGGAGAGAACTTGAAGAGGGATGAAGTAAAGGAAAATTATTCCATTTTATTCAAACAGACATACTTGTGTGTGTGAGAGAGAGAGAGAGGGGAAAGGAATGGAAAGGGAAAAATTAAAGAGAAAAAGAATTCCAGAAAGGCATAGAAAGGAGTGGGATTTGGGTCTGGTGTTCCTCGGGAGTATATCTTTGAAAATGACACTTGAACAAGGTCTCTCTATAGTCAAAACCAAAAGCAAAACAAAAATAAAAAATGAAAAGAAAAAAATAATTATATGGTCACCTTGATTTCCATTCCCGGATAGGACGGGGAAAAAAAAACGAAATTAAAAAAAAAAAAAAAAAAAAGAGTTGGAGAGAGAAAGAGAGCCTCGAGTGTGATACCTTTTTCCTTCTCTCTCATCATATATAATAATATTGTTTAGTTATATTATTCTATTATATAAATTGAATAACTACAAAAATGGAATTCCATTTCCAAGCTAGGATATATAGACCCTGGACTAGAGTGAACTTACTGGATAATTTTACTCAAAATCGCATGATATATTAGGACTAATTCAGTGTACAAGATTCTTATGACAGTGAGGTCTAAAATTTATTTATATGTGTATAGATATAATATTTTATCAATAGTATAATTTTATCGGCACAATTTTATCACAATAAAGAAATCACAATATTAGAGCAGCCTTACTATCAATCGTGCACCCTAAGGCACCCCCTTTCAAAATCTCATGATATACAGAGTTCATATATTTTATATTTCAATAAAATATACATAGTACGTACATCTATAGTATTATAAAGTATACTCATTGACCTGATTCAGAGACCATAAAGGCAAGGGTGTTTGTTTACTTGCATCCATGTGTAAAACCCTAATAAATTCCGCATTATCTTCTAATTCCCTTTCATACTCCCAAATATTCCCTTCTAATCTTTCAACATATTTGTCTGGCATTCTGGGTTTTATGATGTCTTCCTCCACATGACTGTCCATCCAAACCCTCATTGACTCCAGCCCCCTATTAGGGTTTTCAAAGCCCTAGGCTAAATCGAAGATAAATCAAAGTTTATTCATTTGTTTTGATTTATTTATAGGGATCCTTAACTCTTTGTACTGGGAAGTAACTCCTCTCCTTTAATGCTTTCACTAAGATTAACAAACTAGGTCTAGAGTGTCATTTTATTAATGGGGATCTTATTCTACCACCACCCTTTCCAATTCCCTTCTTCTGGCATTCATAAATGAATGCATATGCAATAACTGTTTTTCTCTTAATTATTATTAATTTTCTCTTCTTATCCTTTAAATTTATTAATATACTTTTATTGTGTTCCTGAATTTTTTTTACTGCAATTTTTTGCAAAAATGATGTACTATTTGAATATTGAATACGAATCAGTGCACTTTTATTTTTTGGGGTGAATTGCAAAAAATTCTCTTCAACTATTAGTCAGTTGTGAAAAATTCCCCTTATGAATATTTTTGGCAAAAAACTCTACTCAAATATCCCAATGGGGTGTTTTTAGTTGATGTCCGTTTAAGTGATTGTTTGAGGGAATTTTTTGGACAAAATTACCCCCTTAACAGATTATTCTTTAGACAATTTATTTATTTATTTTCTCTCTCTCCATCAAGCAAGGTATGTGAAGTAGAAAAAAAAAATTCCCAAAAAAAACTAAAAAATGAAAAGCCAATAAAATCATATTTAAGCTATGTATAATTAATAAAATAAAGTTGAGTACAACCGTACAGGAGAGAGAAGATTCACCATGGCGTTGGAATAAAAGATGAAAAAATTAAGCAACTCAAGAACTCCTTTAGTGCACTTGATCTTTAGCAGCCAAGAAAAATAATTAATAATTTGTCATGTTTCCTTAGTTCAATTAATAATTTGCCATTTTTCCACTAACAGGCTAGTGGCCTAGCGGTACCAGGCTCCTACTTCCCAAAAGAAGTTAGTACCAATTAAAAAAAAAAAAAAAAAAAATTGCCATCTTCCATATATAGTTCAATTTCTTTCTTTTCCTTAATTGACTTATGCTACTGCAGGCTAGGTAGGTTAGACTAAAATTGGCAATTAAAAAGTAACATAATTTCTTTTGCAAATCTGATTTTTTTTTTTTTTTGGACAATACTTAAGTCCTTACTAGTAATAATCTACAACATACTTACAACATACTTACCGCTTATGTGGACCAATAATAAATGGATACATCCTATTTTAATTATCAAATCATAGAAGGTAATCAAATCACTATCTCTGATTTGGTAAGTGAATATCTACCCACCATATTTGATTTGGTAATTAAATATCATATGTGCATTTATTATTAGTCCACATCAGCAGTGAGTATGTTGTAGATCCTCACTAGTGAAGACCTAAGTATTGTTATCCTTTTTAAAAAAAAAATTAAAAAAAGTATTACTTACTTCGAGATCACGAAATACCCCAAAGTAACTTTCTGAGATAAAATTGTTGTAATTGATGTACTCAAGTTAAAGACCTAAAAATATAAAAGTTTTTAATGTGAAAGGACATTGTTGCTCTCTATTCAATTCACAAGAATCTAAATACCTCTTGAATCCGAAACACCGGTTGATCAGGCCTAGGCCCAAAACCGAGGGAATATCAAACAATTAATATTTTAAAAACGAACACAAATGACAAAATGAAATAATAATAAATATTAAAAGCTGAAAGAAACTAGAATAAAATCCTTTAGAGATAAATACTTAAATCCTAATAATCCAAAATCTCCAATAGATTAAACAACTTGGGAATCCATCTCTAGTAGCCCCCTAATAATAATCCAAACTATAATAAAAATAACTGATAGAACATCCAAAAGTAAGCTATGGAGAGAAGTCCTACGTCGTCGGTAAAGTGAGTAGAAATCTCTGCTCAGCATGATCAAGTCTAAGTCTGGAACTGTCGTGTACCTGAAAAATAGAAGTGGGTCAGGCCCACGCGCAAGTTTTAACCTATTACAATCCAAGCAGAGACTTGATACGCATGTATATCATAAACAATTCAACAATAACTAATAGTCCGTAAGTATATATATAATCACACTAAAGGACTCTCACTGGACTGCAAGCCGGTCTCAAACTGAATGGAGGTAACATGCTAAAACGCACACGAAGTGGGCATGTGTACCTAAGTCTAAACAGGATACACCTCCAACCATCGTAGCCAGCTATGCATCCCGATGCATATACGCTCCCTAATCATCGATCTTGAGACTCAAGCTCATATCGAGGTACCATAACAATACATATAAAATCCATCCATAATCCCTAATAGTGCCGGTCAACTAGTCGTTGCCATGACACTACACATCAATATGACTTAACTTTTAGTTAATCCAATTCTTTAATTTCCAAAATAGGTAGGACTTAGCGATTTTTGAGCTAATCCCCCTAGTATGTCACCGTCTCATACCGATGCATACAATCCGTCCATCCAGTAATGATAATACAGAACATACATGTAAATATCATCTAAATCCATAAATCCAACAATTGAGAATAAAAACATTAAATTTAAAAATCAATTGTTCCATAAGCGAGCATATTAATTAACATCTTTTAACATGCTGATTATACACTACCCAACCAATAATCCCGCAATTAACAATACAACAGTATATGCAGGTATTAACTTATCCCCAGATTCCATATAATTGAGAGAATATGACTAAAAGTCTACATCAATTAACTCCACAGTAAACATAATAAACCTGGACCAATTATTATACTCATAATTCCAGTCCAACAATTGATGCGATAAATAAGACAATTTAAACACCAATCATTCCATAGCAAGCATAGGAAAAATATATAGATTTTAACATGCTTAGTTTATACCACAAATACATGATTAGTATTTAATAATTATTCACAGAAAGTTTCTAGAATAACTTAAGAAATTTAAACCACTCACATCCACGAACAGTTTGCATAACTTGCTAAAAAACTGGTTGATGATCAACTTATCAACCCTAAGTGATTTATTATTCATTCCCACATTCTCGGAAGCTCTAATACAACCATAGAACTCCTCTAAATTCCCATGTACAGTCCTTGAATATCCCAGAAAGTTCAAAAACACAACCTAGAAGCAAAACTATGCCCAGATTGCATCAAAAGGGGGTGGAGCCGCCTCAACCTGCATTGGAGCCGGTTCCACCCTTGTGGGGAGCCGCCTCCTTGCTTCGTTTGCCCCGTTCACTTGTTTTCCTTCCACGGTTTGATCTCCGGCGGTTTCCATCACTTCCGTCCTCTGTTAACAAGGTTTCTACTGATTTAAAATTAGGTTTTAGTGTTTCAGAGAGTTTAAAAATCATTCCTCAGTAATTAACTTCAACTAACCCAAGAAGGATGCAAAGAAGAATTAACACCGAAAAAGAACAGTTCATATAAACATACAGTTTAGAACAATTCAAACATGCGAACCAGTTTACTTTCAACATTTATTTACTCCTGAAATTGTATTAGAGATGTAAAGAATACAAGTCTAAGGGATAGAGTTAGGAATAGAACTTGTCTTCCACCGACGTCGTCCTAAAGTCTCCGGCCAACTCTCTGTTTTCTTCCTAGCCATCTCCAAAACTTCCCTCAACCATACTATGTCGTAGTATTGTTCTAAAACCCTAGGCAGACATCCTAGGAAAATATTTAAAGGCCACATTAATCCTAGGCTCAACTAAACCCTAATCTGATTTACTCGGCCAATAGAACAACCTAGGTTATTTTCTAATGTCGGCTGAACTGAAAACCTAATATAACTATATGTGTGCCACCTTCCATACAGTTACATTGAAAACATAATTACATGTAATGAAATCAATTCAAATTAAACAATTAAATTAAAATAATTAAATCATTAAATTTAAGTAAAGTAATTCAATTAAAATAACTAAAGTAAAACAATTAAACAATTAAAATCAATTCAATCAATTCAATTAACACATATACACGTCAACAATTAAAAATGCAACTTAAACAATAAAATAAATACCAGGACTATCCTTTTTAAAATTAGGGGTATTACAATAAAAGATATTTAAGTAATTTAGTTTGAGAGAAATACATTTATCATCTCAACATATATTATTTTGATTCCACCACCAACTACTCAAAATTTGTTTTGATTTCACAATTAGGTTTCTCGATCTGCTGTTAGCTTCGTGTTTGAAGGAATGAGAAGGCTTGCTTGACGCGGAGAGAAAAGAGAGAAAAAATAAATAAATTGTCTGAAGAATAATCTGTTAAAGGATAATTCCGTCCAAAAAATTCCCTTAGACAACCACTTAAACGAACATTAGTTAAAAAAAAACCCTATTGGGATAGTTGAGGAGGATTTTTTACCAAAAATATTCATAAGAGGGGTTTTTCGCAACTAGGTAATAGTAAAAGGGGATTTTTTGCAATTCGCCCTATTTTTTTGACTTGCTGCACTTTTAGTTGT